TAGGGACGACTAGCGCAGATACCCTTCGTGTAGCTTTGCGCGAAATTCTAAACCAAACTAACTACAACTTCAAAATGTTGAAGTGATCGTGTTGGTTCATCACGTCACGACATCTCGTGTCGATAGAAAAAATATTCCGTTAAAGCAAGATAAACATTTAAACAGTTTTTGGAATAAAAGACTATGGTTTGTTTATTTGCTTTAATAATTCTAATCTGGGATTTAGAGGTAATAATAAGACGAATTGTAATTGCGATGTTTACGAAGAGCAGATATCAGTTTTCAATAATCATTGCATATAGAGGATGGACCAAAATTTACTTGCCTCACGCCTTCTGTGTAGATAACATTAACTTCGCAGCATCAAAACACTTCGACCTTTTCACCTGAGCCTTGTAGATTCGAGGGTCCAATGTTCGCGGCTCGTAGTAGCAGAGTCGCGTTCCGCCCTTTGGAAGTGTGGGTGCGCTATATAAGTTATGGTCAGAAAGAACAACCCGACAGTTTTTGGTGGGTGTTGCGAACTAACCACCCTCCCTCTAGCCTATCACCGCAATATCAGGGACGGCGATCCAGAGATAGCCCTCTGTGAGGCTATGAAACAAAGACACTTTTTTACTGGCTATGCCATGTTTATGTGCTATTCATATAAAGTCTGATATTAATTTGTGTACTGCTCTGTGTAACCAACGTTTGTTCGACCATGTAAATGAATATTAGGTTTACAAACTTTCACAAATCATTATTTGTAATAGATATATAAGTAATAAGGAAAATACATAATATTAAATATTTCGAATAACAAACAAATACAGCTTTAATATGATAAAAATATAAAACAGAATCAAATCGTTACAACTAACGCTTCGGTCCAATGATGATTCGTCTGTCCGAAACGCCGACAAGATATTTCTCTTACAAAGTCTGTCATTCAGTTGCTTTTTAATTTTTAATATTATTTGACATACCGGGTATTATTGTCTATTGTATATCATAAACACAAGTATGAAGATTGAATTTGGGAACTATATGTAATATTACACGCAGAAAGAAGAAGGTATAAAATACAAGTACGATTCCATCTGAACAGTAAGTGGTAACTAATAAAAATTTTGTCTTTCAGAGCCCTCTATGAATCAATAATTGTAAATATAACAGTAAAAAAAAATTATCTGATCGATAATGTTTTCAATTCAAATGATTTTCATTTCAATAATTTAAGTAATTAATTTGAGTCTATTTTATGAACAAATTAAATATGTCCTCATCTTTCTCATTTTATTTTTAATTGGTTTGTAATTAGGTAGATTTTTTTTTTAATCTGTCAAATAACAAAACAATGGTCTTCCAATGAGGTGAGGTTTACAAACAATATGGATATCTGAAACTACTCGTTCTAAAGACGTTTAGTCTCCAGAAATAACTTAAAATAACTTGTATGATTTTGGGTTAAAATAATTTTATTAATCAAACTCAACTTGTTTCCTTTTTTTTTTAGTTCAGCCATTTTGTTCGACTTGAAAAACGACACCAATTAATAACATCTTGTTAAAATCATAAATTATTTAAACAACTGAAAACTTGGTTCACGTTTACCTGAGAAATAACTGTCAGTAATCTTGTGTCTAAACCTTAGCAGCTACCAATAGCAACAAATGTGTTTACAGACTTAGCTAAGAAATATTGGCCTGTAATCTTGTGTCTAAACCTTTACAACAGCAACAAATGTGTTTACAGACTTAGCTAAGAAATATTGGCCAGTAATCTTGTGTCTAAACCTTTACAACAGCAACAAATGTGTTTACAGACTTAGCTAAGAAATATTGGCCAGTAATCTTGTGTCTAAACCTTTACAACAGCAACAAATGTGTTTACAGATTTAGCTAAGAAACATCGGTCAATAGTCTTGAGTCTAAACCTTAGCAGTTAATAATGGCAGCAAATGTGCGTACAGATTTAATTGGCAATCACCGTTCAGTAGTCTTGTGCCTTAGTATTTCTTACTTAACAATAGCAACGGACGGGCTTACAGATTTAAATTAACTCAACTTTAGCCTGTGAGAGGTTTTCTTGAAACCAGTAATTTTATATAAGTGTAGACATCACCTATAACTCAACTTTAGCCTGTGAGAGGTTTTCTTGAAACCAGTAATTTTATATAAGTGTAGACATCACCTATAACTCAAATTTAGCCTGTGAAAGGTTTTACTGAAATTTTCTGTGAACATAAATTAAAATAAACTAGTTATTTTTTCCTTCCATTCCAATGTTTAGTTTGATTTCAAGACTCTTCAAGTGCAGTTAACACTCAGTTTGTTAATAATTAGAGCGATTTAAAAAAATGTACTTGTTGGTATTGCTAACTGTGAAATACTAAATCATTGGTTATTCAGGTGAAGTCTACACTTATATAAAATTACTGGTTTCAAGAAAACCTCTCACAGGCTAAAGTTGAGTTATACGTGATGTCTACACTTTTATAAAATTACTGGTTTCAAGAAAACCTTTTACAGGCTAAAGTTGAGTTATAGGTGATGTCTACACTTATATAAAATTACTAGTTTCAAGAAAACCTTTTACAGGCTAAAGTTGAGTTATAGGTGATGTCTACACTTTTATAAAATTACTGGTTTCAAGAAAACCTTTCACAGGCTAAAGTTGAGTTATAGGTGTGGTCTACACATATCCTAGAGAGTTACTGGTTTCAAGAAAACCTTTCACAGGCTAAAGTTGAGTTATAGGTGTAATCTGTGTTTATGATAGAAAGTGACTCCTGAATTTTATTTGAGACAATCTTCCTGATGAATATAATAATAAAACTTTAATAACGAAGAAGGTTCCTATAAGTTGATATGATAAATGACGTCAAACAAACTAAATTTCATCAAAAGTCAATTACGTTTACTTTGTTCCTTTGCGTATTTTGCTTCTCTTGTATCACGTTACTAGAAACGATATATCTGGTCCGCGACCGTCGTAAGACAAAATAATTTCATTCCACTGTTCTTTCTCTCTTGTTTTGTTTTTGTTCCTTTTTTAAGTTTCTCGGTGATTGATATCGTTATTAAACGGGAAATTATTTTCTGTCTGATTGCAGTTCGTCTGGAAATAATATATCTTTTTCAATTTTTCATAGACAAACGTATTAAAAAAGCATTGTATTTGAATAACTTGCAAGACGTTTCTGTAAAACACATTTCTTTTTACAGATCACTTTGTGCAAGTTTTTAATGAAAATTACATGTTTAAGAGACTGTTTACGGTTGCCATTTTTAAGAGACTGTTTACGGTTGCATGTTTAAGAGACTGTTTACGGTTGCCATGTTTAAGAGACTGTTTATGGTTGTCATGTTTAAGAGACTGTTTGCGGTTGCCATGTTTAAGAGACTGTTTACGGTTGCCATGCTTCAGAGACTGTTTATGGTTGCCATGTTTGAGAGACTCTTTTCGGTTGCCATGTTTGAGAGACTGTCTACGGTTGCCATGTTTCAGAGACTGTTTATGGTTGCCATGTTTGAGAGACTGTTTACGGTTGCCATGTTTAAGAGACTGTCTACGGTTGCCATGTTTCAGAGACTGTTTATGGTTGCCATGTTTGAGAGACTGTTTACGGTTGCCATGTTTAAGAGACTGTTTACGGTTTTTTACGGTAACCATCACAACGTATCCAAACGCTGATACATAAATGAATAACTTTTAACTAAATATCGCTGAGTAATTCCACGCATGCGCTATGGATGAACATAGGACATAATCTTTAGACAGAAAATAAGACTGTCTGGTAGTGTTTAGTCATTTTTCTGACTCAATAATTCAAGATAATTTTATCAAACTAGTAAAACATCCAGTTGTACTTTCATTGTATGCGTTATTTGAAAGGCCATTCTTAAATTTATAAACATTGATTTATAAGTGAAAGGTCATCCGAACATATTTATAATCTATAGGCGACTAATTACACAGGCCTGCGAATTTAAACTTCATAAAAGTTGTTTTGATTTTAATAACGTTTTTTCCACAATTCAGCTACGCAGATTTGGAATATAATATTCGTCTTTTTCTATCACGTAAGGATTTTTTACAAATCGGGAAGAAGAAAAAAACTCTTACTTAGGTCAAATTGTTATTTCGTTTACCACAACGAAC